TATATATATATATATATATATATATATATACAATGTCCATAACCACAGGTATTAATCAGACAACTGTAGAAGTAAAAAGGCACATCATATACTTCAACCTTTTGCCACTGGTTTCTCTGTCAGTAATCCTTTGGATTCATCAATCTGTTGGAATGTTTCACCAAATTGAAATGCATTATGAAACAGAGGAACTTCTTTGTTTTTTGTTTTTTTTTGTGAGAGTAGACCAATAGAGGTTGTAAAGAACATTGACATTTTCCACATAATCTCCCTATAAAACATTTTGCAGATTAGTAAATACTATGTCCAGTAGCTTCCTTTGTTTTATGCAGCCATTTATTGCTTCTACCACCCAGTGTACTTTTGTGACAAGCCTTAAAAGTTTGAATGCCTTTGTTGGATACTTGTTACACATCTTTTTACAGAAAACATGACATCTGTGTATTCACAATAAGTTTGCAAATTAGATCCAATGCATCCTTAAATTCTTTATTCACAACAACCACATCCTGAAATAGTATTCAGGAGCAATTGATTTCAACATAATTTTAGAATATGTGATGATTAATTGCTGCATCCTCATTTTGCTCATGATAAAAATGTGGACCAAGGGCCACCAGTAAATACAGTAATTTTGACAAGTGGACACTGCTTGTGGATACTGTACGTTTCTTTCTAGAATCTATATTTGTCACATTTCTGTATATACTAATATGTGCTATCTAAAATCAGTAATACTGTTAGTCCATTCTGCCAAAAGGGCAGGTATGGTTAGATATCAATTCTTGGTGCATAATATGTCCAAATCCAAGATACAGACTAACAGAACCTTTTATCTGAGTGGAATGATGTGAGCATCTTGCTGTCTTATTTCAGAAGTATTGTGACAGATTTCTGTTGAATAATTTGCTGCAGAATTTACCCCTTCCCCAAATATGCTTGCACAGATTTTACTTTACTAGAAAACGGGATTTTATACTGAGATTTGGTCAGTACATCCAGATTAAATCATTTACCATTACTTAGTTTATGAGACCTTTGAAAGTCTATTCCATCTTATCTTTTTGCTACTACATGTGTGTTCTTTAAAAGATCTATCACATTTGTTCTTTTACCTTTGATTTTGTCTTTGCATCTGTCACCTGCCGTATTTGTAGTAAAAGCTGCTTTCTGTCTAGGTGATTTTTGAAGCACAAGACTCTAGTAGAATTAACAATATTATGCATTACAAATACCTGGTTCCTGCTTTAACCCCTTACCTGCCGTGATCATTTGTCTTATCATGAGGGCAAAATCAAATTTGTGAGTTGAAAAAATTAGAGAACTTCTTTTTTCTTAAAAAAAAAGAGAGGGGGTTCAAAATTATAAAGTAATATGTTAGCAATTGATGTGTTTGAAGGAAAACGAAGTTTCACAATAAAAAGGATAATGATACTTAAGCTAAACAAGATTGTTTATTTATAACAATGGGACACAGATAAACGTTTTAGAATTCAACAAGTTCCATCTTCAGTATCTAAAGCAAAATAAAGGAATTACATCATTCCTAAGTAATTACTAAAATACATTGCTATAATAACAGTAATTTAATTAAAACTACTTACAAGAGAAATATGGTAATATGCTTATTAAACAGAGGTTATAACTTGTGTTCTATGGACTTTACACACACAAATTTCACTTATACAGGATATATTGAAACATAATGGCTACCCACAACATTCATTTCAAAAAATTACTGATATTTTTCTAACTAAGAAACTAATCTACAAAGACTACCAACTGTACCCAAACTTACTATATCCTCATCTTCATACATTGGTAAACAAAAGCTTAACTTTAAAAAGTCAAATTAAACTTGTAATTCATTGTTACAAACCCAAGTTGATTTCAGATTAGTTTTTAATTTTGTTACTCATTCAATTTTTGTTATAGTTTGATTAAATTACTGTTATTATAGCAATGTATTTTAGTTGCTAAGGGATGATGTAATTCTTTTATTTTGCTTTAGATACTGAAGATGGAATCTGTTGAATTCCGAAATGTTTACCTATGTCCCCTTGTGTTATAAATAAGCAATGTTGTTTATCTTAAGTATCGTTATCCTTTTTATTGTGAAGTGACATGTGTAAAATTCATCATCTTTCATTCTTAGTGGTAGGACCATGGGATACAGATTTAAAATTCATTTATTATTTTGTCATGTCTTTATTTCAGTTCTTGTGCCAGAATTTGTTGAAGTGATTACCATTATTAAAATGTTCATCTTTAGGAACTGAGAAAAAATATTGTAAAGGTATAGTGTAGGAAATAATTAGGGGAACAATAAGGAAAAAGGTTATTAAAAAACAAATATTATGGAAATGCCATCCCTTTATCATGTGAAAATGAACTACACCAGTGTACAGCCACATGTTGATAGTTTAAATTGCTTGTCATCCAACCAACTAGAAGGTGCCACACCAATATATATAACCTTTGAAAATAGAGCCAGTCATACTATGCCCAGGGCTGAAATACCAATGCAAAACATGTACAAAAACCAAAACTTTCAGAAGTGGCTGATGTAGAAAATTAAAATCTTCCAAATTTGGTACAGGCAGATTCTGATCCATTTGATGGAAGTTCATTTTCTAGCATGACAGTGGTCCCAGTTATACAACAAATGTGGTGAAATGACACCTTGATGTTAAAGAGGCTGATTCACAGTAATGGCTTGTCTGCACAAAGCTCAATTATGAACAGACTTGAAGCTGAGTGGTATTAAAAGTCAAGAGGCAACCAATCAACTTCTTTAAATTTTGATCAAGACTTGTATAACTACACAATCATTTGCATTTTTTTGGCACATCTAGAGTTTATGAAACGTATGTCCAATACTTCATTTTTTATGACATTTCTGGACATGTTTTATAAATTCTGGGTGTGTGTGTGTGTGTGTAGATGGCACTAAAGGAATGCAAATGATTGTGCAGTTATGTAGGTCTTGATCAAACTTCAATTATTACTCTTGAAGATGATGGTATAAAAACACCAAAATACGTGGTTGTTTCAGGTCTGGTTCCTGTTTTTAATGAATTATTTATTGTGCAGTTATTTTAGAATTATATTCCTTTTAATTGTGTGTTCATATATATTTTTCTGTTGTAGTTTTGAATTAATGTTTTGGAGAGTTAATATATTCACCATCTAGTTGACATTACTTGTTGTTTATGACTTGTGTACTGATTGTGTGTTTTTGCACAATTACCATTAACCTGTTACCCACTGTGGCCATTTTGATCTTATCGTGAGGGCAAAATCACATTTGTGAATTGAAAAAATTATAGAGAACTTATCTTTTATTGGATTTCAGATTTTATTTTTGTAAATAGTAGTATAACATTCAATTATTTGTACAAAGTTGTATTGTTTAATGAAATTTAAAAGAAAGTTAATAAAAAAAAATCCAAAATACGTTTGAGACTAAATAAGTGTTCTCTAAGAAGAAAAAACATTTTCAAACTTTTTCTACAATTTCTCCTTGCACTTAATGTATCTAAACCTTTTTCTAGTCTGTTTTCTTTATAAAACTGCGTCTGGGTGTGTTAAACCTCAGTTGTAAAACTTTTAGCCAGTCCTAGTCGAAGGTGTCAATTTCAGTACCATCTTATTCCAATCGCTGTATTTCACGGTTGACAAATCATAGGATTTTGCAATATGAATGTGGGTGGTGCTTATTATAGTAACTGCCATTTTATGTAGAGGTTGTATTTAGTATTGGTCAATAGTACTTTTTTATAAACCTTAGAAAACTTGCTTCTGGAAAAAAACTGCATTGGATGTATGCAAATTTTATTATTTTTCTATAGTAGCTTAAGTCATACCGTATCGTATATCTATTTACATTAATCATTATATTGAAAAATTAACTCAAAATAGACATAGTTTTTAGGAAAAGTTGAACCATGTATGTTAGGGTTAACAGCTATCAAGTGCAAGCAAGGCCTTTACATGAATTAGGCTTAGCACTTTGAACTGAAAGTTTGATTTTTTATATTTTTTGTATTTAAATTAGTAGTTTTAAGTTCAATAATTTAACATAATTTTATATTAAGTTCATAATAATAAAATTATGATTCAGTATTTAGAATGATAAACTTGTATGATTTATACATAATACTACTAGTACCCGTACCACATAAGAATTTTATATTTTTCCTTCTTACAATCTTTACTTTGTTGTAAGACCCACACTTCTGTTATTATTGCTTTAGAATTAAAACAGTCTAACTGATATATATAAAGTTTATTCTGATATTTTGCAAATGGTTTAAAACTCAGTGTACAAGTGACAACAATAAAACCCATATGTTGGTTGTGAAACAGACTAAATACATTCATCTCAATAATACAGAGGTCTCAATACACTGAAGAGCTTAAGTTTCGAATTCCAACATAAATCTTGCCTATAATGAGAGGAATGTGACCAGAACTAATCTTTTAAGTGCTGTAAAGTAATTATCTTTGTAATTTATGGTGTCTGTATTGTTTGGTAAATTGTTTTTAGCAGAATGTATCAAGTAACAAGGGCAGGTTGTGTTTATTGAAACCACCTGTACTGTAAACTGTTACATACATTCGCTTGTAGTGGCAATTAGTTTTGTCTATAGTGAAACAACATGCACGGACATAGGTTGAAATAAACTTGTTTGAAAGTTCAAAGAAATGACATTCAAATACCGAAAAGCTTTCTTACTATCATATCTACAGTAATGTTGAAATGCACCTGTGCTGGACTGGACGAGAGTGACCACCAAGAGGCATGATAGTTTACAGCAAATGTACGAAGTTCATGCTGCTAAACTTCACAAACAAAAGTACGGCTGCAATGAAACATAAACGTGAAATAAAAATACATTTATGAAACAAAAGTAAAATGTTTTTTATGTACATATATAAACATGAAATCCTAGTTAAAGATAAAAAAAAAACTGTGTTGTTTAGGTTTACTTAGAAATATTATTTTTGGGTCTTGTATATTACTTGAAACCATAAGGGGAGTACGTGATTATTAAAAAAAATAAAAACAGACAATTTGCATTTTATGGACAATAAAAAGTTTTTAGGGATTTTAAAATAATGTACTAAAACATAAGTAATAAGTTAAAATCTGGAACAAATATAAATATCGTAATCATTTCTTATAAATACCATTTCCTAATGTAATTTTCCAAGATATTAAAGATCATTATGCAAAAAAAACTAAATTTATTGAAAGTAACAGGCTTAATGTTTCTTAAACTATGTGCATTTATGAAAGTTCTTATGAAGTTTCAAACAATTTCAACCACTAGTTTTATTGTTGGAATGAAATATAGCAAGACTTGCATTGGCTACTCAGAAAGTTAGTAGCCGGTTGTCATTGAGTTAATTGGTAACATTGTCTTTATATAAAAAATGTTGTCTCCCTATTAATTGCTTTGTTTATTAATTTATTCCAAAAACAAAACTGGTTTTCAGCATTGCATCATTTATTAAAAATTTGTCTTTACAGGTTAAGTGTATCTAATGACTTGAAATATGATTCAGAACGGGATCTTCAAGATATTGGTGCTGGAAAGATAGAAGTATATCCACTGAATAAGGTATTTCTTGAACTAATTAATATTTTGATAAACCTACCTTCTTTATAACCTATATGGAACATGGGAAATGTTATGTAGTAGTATATAGAGATTGTAGTATGTTAGAGATTGGAATGTATTTTATGACAAAATCCTGGAAGATTGACTAGTTATACAACTATTTCAGAAGTGTGTGGTTTAACCCATTCTGGTCTAGAGGGGTGGGTGTCACTGATATTCTTTTAATTTGTTTCCTTCTCACAGTGGAAACACTTAACAAATTGCATGAAACTTAAAGCAAAGACACTAAATAATGTAGAGATATAATGATAGTGTATTTCATTTTTTTAGGTTGTGAAATTTCAAAAATTTTGTTGCAAGACAATTTTGAAAAACTAAGAATATTTCCTTTTATCTTAGAATTTCCATTTCTTTTTTATTTTGATCAGAAATTTTCATTTTCTATATACAGTAATTTTCATCTTGATTGATGTTAATTAACACATTTATGTTGCTGTTTGCAGTATTCACCATTTCCAGCTGTAAGTCACAAAAATAGCAAAACAACTTAGATTTCTTGGTGACCTAGAAACTCACTTTTCAAAATCTCATTACCCTTTGTCAGGCTAGGTATTGCAATTTTTGCTAACAATATTCTTAATTGAGATCAATGTATATGTTGTGAATATAATTTATTTTCAATGTCTTTAAGTGTGTGTGTTATACAAGAAAACTTAAAAAACTGAGCATTACATTAAAATATAGTTTTTATTAAATCCAAAAGGTCTTCAGTTCTTTGTTAGGTAAAATTGTAGCAGTAAACTGAGAAATGTTTAAAAATAATAATGCAATTGTGTTGGGGAAAAACATGATATTTATAACATTGTTAATGGGCACAACAGTATGAGGGTTGTCTTAGTAACAATATGAGTGTTAATCTTTTCTTGGCTTGGTTGGTCTACTGGTAAGCTGAAATAATATGTTCAGTAAATATTATTTGGTTTTGGATACACACTAGCTTAGATTTTAGCTCTGGCCAAAGTATAGTATTCGAAAGAAGGATGCAAGGCTCTATCATTTGCTACTAAACTGAAGTTGGGAAAAGTTAAAGTATACTTGGGAGACTGTAAATAATGCATAATTTGTCAGTGCTTTTGTTCAGTAACATGAGGTCATTTACAATTTATTTTATTGGGTTGTTTCACAGTTTTGTGGTGTGGGTGAGAAATACATGTTTTTCAATAACCCAGTTGTTAGTCAAAGTATGCTAGGGAAGTGCAAATTGCATCCAGTGTGGCTGGATATCAACAAATATGCTAATTGGCTCTTAAAACATCCACAAGATATTTATTGTGCTTAATGCTTAGTATAATTTTCCTGGTAAAATGGTCTTTCTTGCATAGTTCGAAGGATATCAGATTACTGAGAAAGATACTTTTTTCAACCAAGATGTTGATAAGAACAAATGTGCATCACAATGTTTATTAATAATATCAAATCAGCTATAAAACTATTACAATTACACACAGGGCAAGTATTCAGTGATTTGTGTGTGTGTTGATCTGATAAGATTACTGAATGAGCTCTATCAGTTCAATGTGTTCCTATCTCGTAAGTTAACACGTTCACTACAGGTATCTTTTTCTCTGCATGTCACGAGGTTTTAATGTGTTACATTAAAAATTTATTTAATCTACTTTCTTGTCATGGTATACGAATCAATTTGGCATTAAAATGTAGCTAATAATACAAATTTTGATATTATACAAGTTTTAAATTCTTAATTTTATAAGGCAGTATTAAAAAAAATGCTGAATTTCTCCTAGTTTAAAAATTATGCTCTCTAGGTATTCTCTTCTCTTATTTATTTACCCTCTCTGAGAAGTATGAAATTTAATGTAAATTATTCATTATTATGTTGTCAATGCTCAGTCAAAACATTTTTATAAATTTCAGTCATATTTAATTATAGCACCATAAAATAGAAAATTGGACCCCTCTTGCTACACCTACCTGTCAATGTTTCTTTCAGAAATTGCCAATAGTTTTCTCTGATGTTCAATCTATATATAAAACTCAAAATCTCTGTTTGTGTGCCACATTCACTGCGCAGGTCACGCTTCCCCTCACATGAAGGTGTGCAAAATGACAGTTTTTCATTGCTATATGCATCTATTGTCTGCTGCCAAACCACTAATTTTATCGTTAACATATACATTACACAAATATAAATTATACACAAAAGTTTTTGGGTAAGTTAACATTTAATTTAGAATATAACATTATAGGCCTATTTAGTTATAGATCAAACCTCACACACAAAACAAATGTATGCAGAATTAGAATGTTGTGTGTGAAAAAGCAAGTTAAGCAAGAGAGTTAAGGTAAACCCTAAGTAACTAACTCTTTCAGCATGGGCTCGGTCCCCGGGACTGACCTCGTAACCATTTTGTGCTTGTTATAGTTTTTGGGCTATAACTTTTAAATTAGTAAGCAAATGTTAACGCAATTTGGTACATTATAAATAAACATTACCTTTCTTTCATAAAAAAAAAATTTTTTTTTT